GCTTTTTCGATTTTTTATCAAATGTTTTTATTTGTCAATTCCCCCGAAACGTTTTCGACACAATATTCACAAGCAATAAGCGTAGTATTTTGTAAACAAGTCTGAAAAAGGAAAAGCACAATTTGAAAGGGAAGAAGAAAGCAAATGTTTTATTGATATGCCTCTGAATAGGTAAAAGTACAAGATGTAATTCCTTGAAAGAGGTAATTATAGAAATTTTCAAAACTGTAAATGGCAATGGAAATGATAATTGCTAATGTTGTTTCCCCAATTTCCTTTTAATGGATCATGAGTTCTTTGCTTCTGATTTGTATGATTTAGATCCATCTCTCCCTTCATGGTTCATATTCGTAGTTCTTAGATCACAATCTTTTTGTTATTTATTTCTTTTCGAATAAAATCCCTAATTTTTGCCTGGATCGTCCTTTCAGGTTTTCAATCCACCGGGATAGTTTTTTTTTGTATGTCCCTAATTTTTTCCTTGATCGCCCTTTAGGGTTTTCGATCCACCGAGACGTTCCTTTTTTCCTAAGTCGCCCGTTTAGGGTTCGAGCTTAGCGAGATTTTTTATACAGTATTTTTTGATTGCGTTTGAATTTTCCGGATGCGGTAGTTCTTCCTCATCCATTATTGTGAGGATGAGACCACCACTGGAGAATGTTGTTTTCACTATGTATGGACCTTCATAGTTGGGTGTCCATTTACCACGTGAATTGAGGCGAGGTAGTAGAATCTTCTTGAGCACTAAATCCCCTTCTTTGAATACTTGAGGAATAACGTTCTTGTCGAAGTCCCTCTTCATACGCTTCTGATGCAATTGACTGTGGCATAGAGTTGTCAAGCGTTTTTCGATGAGATTGAGCTGATCGAGTCGCGCCTGAACCCATTATGCTTCTTCCAATTTTGTTTCCATTAAAACCTGAAGTAATGGTATTTCTATTTCAATTGGAAGTATTGCCTCCATGCCATATACCAGGGAGAAATGAGTCGCACCTGTTGATGTGCGCACAGAAGTGCGATAGCCGTGTAGGGCAAAGGGAAGCATTTCGAGCCACTCTTTGTATGTCTTCACCATTTTCTGAATGATCTTCTTGATATTTTTATTATCTGCCTCGACGGCTCCCTTCATGTTGGGTATGTATGGTGAGGAGTTATGATGTTCGATCTTTAAATTGTCGCACAGTTCCTTCATCATCTTGTTGTTCAAATTGGACCTGTTATCTGTAATAATCCTTCTTGGAACCCCGTATCTGCATATGAGATTCTGCTTGATAAATCGCGTAACTACCTAGATTTTCATGTTGGCGTAGGATGCTGCTTCTATCCACTTGGTGAAGTAATCGATGGCTACTAGTATGGAACAGTTTCCGTTGGATGCTTTCGGTTCAATCATGCCAATCATATAAATTCCCCACATTGAAAACAGCCGAGGAGAGCTCATGACATTCAGAGGAGTTGGCGGCATATTTATCTTATCAGCATAGATCTGGCATTTTTGACATGTTTTCGTATAATGTTAACAATTGGCTTCCATTGTTAACCAATAGGACCCTGCTCGCAGAATCTTTCTAGCCATGGCGTGCCCATTTGTATGAGTTCCAAAAGTTCCTTCGTGTATTTCTCTCATGACCGTATCTTCTTTCTGCTTCTCCATACACCGGAGTAGTACCATGTTGTAGTTTCTTTTGTATAGCACATCATTACTCAGAAAAAATTTTGAGGCTAACTTCTGTAGAGTTTGTTTGTCAATGATGGAGGCATTTTCTGGATATTCTTGCTTTTCCAGGTACTTCTTGATGTCATAAAACCAAGGCTTATTGTCCGGTCCTTCTTCAATATCAAGGCAATGTGCGGGGTCTTCAAAGTGTCTGATTGTGATGCGTGGTTCATGATTCAACCAAGTTACTTTGAACATAGCTGATAGAGTTGCCAAAGCATCTGCCATTTGATTTTCTTCTTGTGGGATGTGACTGAAAGTGATCTCTGTGAATTCCACAGCCAACTTTAAAACATGATCCCGATATGGAATCCGTTTTGGATGTTTAGTATCCCATTCGCCGTTAACTTGGTATATGACTAATGCGGAGTCCCCAAATACTTTGAGGTGCTTTATTCTCATATCAATGGCAGCTTCCAGTCCTAGTATACTTGCTTCGTACTCGGCGATGTTGTTGGTGCAGTCAAAACACAACCTCACAGTCTAGGGCTTATGATAGTTCTTTGGAGAAGTCAAGACTGCCTCTATACCATGCCCTAGTGCATTTGAAGCTCCATTGAACATAAGTGTCCAATGTGCCCCTGGCTCGGGTCCTTCGTCAGGTCATGGTATTTCATAGTCCCCTATAACCATGACATCTTCGTCTGGAAAGTTGAACTTCATAGGTTGATATTCTCACTACAAGAAAATTAGTGTTTAACGACACAAAAATTGCGACAATTATGTGATAACTGTCGTAATTGACATATAGAGACAGTGTTTACGACAGTTGACACCAACCGTCCCTAATATTTATTTTGCGACGATATATTTAACCATCATAATATTATTATTACGACGGTAAAACAACCATCGGCCCCCATTTAACACTTTTAACATTGATTTTTCACCAACAACTAGTCACGACGGTAAAATTAACCGTCCTAAAAGGCATATCACGACGGTAAAGCACCCGTCGCACCCTTAAACCTTTCACGACGGTAAAATTATTCGTCCTAAAATTCATTTCACGACGGTAAAACAACCGTCGCACCCAAAACCTTTAAAAATTCTCATGGGCACGACGGTAAAACACCCGTCGCAGTAAAAAAGTTAAAAAGCTCATAAAACATCGATTAGAATGTTTCTTTAACAGTATATTGGAATTCCTTGAACAAGTTCTGTTTCTGCGGCATCCTCGACGAATCAATCGGCGAGGGAACCCATTTCCTCATCCCATGGGTTCAAAAACCCTACATCTTCGATATCAAAACCCGCCCCCATACTTTCTCATCAATATCCGGCACGAAAGATCTTCAAATGGTTAACCTAACTCTCTGAGTCCTCTCTCGTCCCGACACCGCGAAACTCCCTGTCATCGTTCAAAACCTCGGTCTCGAATACGACGAGAAAGTCCTCCCTTCGATCGGTAACGAAATTCTGAAATCTGTTGTGGCGCAATTCAATGCTGATCAGCTCCTTACTGAACGTCCTCAAGTTTCTGCCCTTGTTAAGGAGACTCTTGTCTGACGTGCTAGGGATTTTAACATCCTTCTCGATGATGTGGCGATCACACATTTGTCTTATGGTGCTGAATTTTCGCGAGCCGTTGAGCAGAAGCAGGTTGCTCAACAGGAAGCTGAGAGATCTAAATTTGTAGTCATGAAGGCGGAGCAGGAGCGTCGGGCTGCAGTTATTCGAGCTGAAGGAGAGAGTGACGCTGCTATATTGATTTCCGAGGCTACTGCTGCAGCTGGGATGGGGTTGGTTGAGCTTAGGAGGATTGAAGCTTCCAGGGAAGTTGCTGGAACGCTTGCGAAATTGCCTAATGTTACTTATCTTCCTGGTGGAAACAACATGATGATGGCTCTTAATCCTGCTGGTTGATTATCACGGTAATCATCTTTTCCTCACTTTTCAAATTTTTATTTATTTATTTATTGAGTTTGGTTTTTCATTGCGGTTATAGTCATGAATTGAGGCACACTGCAGTCCATATATCAAAAACCTTGCTGTCACAATTGAAATTGCAGTGGGAGGTGGCAGACCTTTTTAAAACCCTAGTTCATTGCTATTTGTTACATTGCAATCCACACAATGTGTGTTCTTCGTATTTATGGTTGCCATTGGATATAGATATATAATCAATAGTTAATAAGTTACTTGAGTTTCAATTGTAGTTAAGTAGCAGGTGTTGAAGTTGTTGGTAAAGGCCACAGTGATATTGGTAGCGATGCAGTTTTTGAGACATGTTGTGATGTTGTTGCTGTAATATTGTTTGACGTAGAGTGATCTGGAAGAAAGTGGGGTGTTGCTTTTTAGTCTTCCAGTTGAATTAATGGATTATATGGAGGGTTCTTGTAAATTTGGTTGTTTGTTTTGGTTCTCGGTAGGTTGTACTTATAGCTTTTAGGAGGATTAGACTTAGATAGAGTGCTTATGGCGCTGTTCTGACCTTTCCTCTCCTAATAATTTTCAAGTTTCTTTCTCAAAGCTACATATTCTTTCTTCATTTGTTGATAGCTCTTCCTACACCTGAGTATGTTACAACAACCATTGTTAGGAATCATATTCCATAAATAAATGACTTAGATTTAATGCATGTTTCATTACCCTTCTGCATTTCCTGTCCTGCAATATTCTCTAATTAGAGTCGATTCTGCTTTCACCTTTTTGGCCCCAATGCTGCACAAATCACTATTTTATTCAAATCATTGTTCAACTAACATACTTTACACCTGAGGTGATGATATATACCTTGAGCTGTTTCCTTTAAACTGGTGCATGATTGTGTCCAGTTTGTTGAAATCCAATGGATTCCTCTCCCTTCCACATGCACAAAAATGACACCAATTTAGTTTAAAATTATGATGGAATTAACACACTATTATAAACTTACAGTGTCTGTTCCAAGTTAGAGATAAGCCTAGATGAATCGCGGTAGTAGAGAGTGACAATTTCCTCAACAAAATTAGGATTAGCATCATCTTGCAATTCTTCAAGTTAGATAAATTGTTCATCAAGAAGCCCCTGCATATTTCATTATTACTTAGGTAACTAACTAGCTAGCCATCAATATTAATCAAGACTACAAGAGTCTAATAACATTCTATATATATACCTGATCAAACAGTGACTGTTTCATTGCAGCAACTTGTCTGCGACAATTGTTTCTGTCCATGATGATATGATTAGAAGAAGAAGATGAAGGGACACACAAGGAAAGAATAATAAAGGAAGAGGTTGGAATTGAAATTTGGGGTCTGAGTTTTCATGTATGATTAAAGAGGCTAAAGCCTTGGGGATGGCTCTCGGCGTCTCTTGTTTGAATGGGTAATATTTAATAGAAGTTACAGTTTGATGGTGTTTTGCTTTAAAGAATGCTATCATATTTTGTCGGAATTGTTGATGTTCAAATTTATTTATGGACTAATAAAAAATTAAAATTTGTATGTAGGGTACTAAACATATATTATTTAGAAATGATATTATTGAATTTTTATTCCTCTTGAAAGTTGATTGAACAAGTTGCATTGATGGATGCTAAAGAACCAATTTGAACTGATAGCATCTTGCTCTTTTTCGAAAATGCAGGATTGAAGAAGCTGAAGCACAGTGTGCTTTGTTGAACTCTGAATCATTATGCGTAAGCACTTGTCTACTTTGTAATTATCAGTTATTTTTGGGATACTAGTACTATTGCTGTTTGCTAATATCATGATTGTTGTCATTCATTGTTGAGAATTATAGGATGGATGTTTCAGTTCAGATTCAGATATATTTCTCTTTGGTGCAAGGACAGTGTACAGGGAAATCTGCCTTGGTGAGTATATCATTTGGTTTCGTTTTTAAATATTATTGTTGAATATATTTTTGTGCTAATTGTATTTTTCGTATAAGTTCTAAGGATTTTTTTGTACTTTCATATGACTTACAAGAATTTTTTTTTATTAATGAGTTAGGAGATGGTGGATATGTTGTATGTTATGAGATGGCAGAGATTGAAAATAAACTTGGATTGGGACGGGATTCATTGGTAAATTTCTGATTGATGTTTTAACATAAGAGTCACAATGCTTTCTTAGACGATCTTTCGTTGTTTCTTGTCAATTCAAAATTCAAGGGTATTGAGTTCTTGTTCTGGTGAAAATCAGTAACCGAGTAACCCATGATCTTCAGATTGCTCTCTCTTTGCTTCTCGGCAGTGACTATCATCAAGGAGTTCATGGTTTAGGTCCGGTAAGTCCTTAAACACATCCTTCATGATCATATTACTTTTTTCCTTTTCACCTCTTGTTGTTTAGCAGGGTTGAATATTTACATATTATATGGTTGCTTGTGCTTTTGCATGATTGTTTCCATGGTTGTATTGTAGGAGTTAGCTTGTCAGATAGTAAAATCAATTGGGGAGAAAGATGTTCTAAAAAAATTTGCTTCTGAAGGACTTGGATGGGTGAAAAAAAGAAAAGGTATATATACCCTTGTCATATCTATATTGCATTTTAGTTCCATTTTGCAACTTTTTTTAATCATTTTTTCTATCTTTTTTGTTTATGCAGGAGCTAAAAATAATATAGGAAAGGACGATACCATTTTACAAGTGATTGATGCTTATTTGAAGCCAAAATGCCACTCAGCTGATTCAGACTTTGTGCTCAAGTATGTTATTTAATTCATTGCTTCCAGTTCCTTTACTATACTCAATATTGATTGGAATTTAGAATATACTAATCAGAACCTACGAAAGCTATATGTTAATGGTAAAGTTTATCTGCTATAGTTCTGAATCTGGTTACTAATTAGATACGCACTTAAAATAAGAATTTGCAAAAATTTCTGTAGGGCTCATTCTCAGTATCCATTTCAACGTACTAAGCTCCATCATATATGCGCTGTATACTTCGAATGGCCTTCGGAGAGAACAGGTACTTTATCTAATTTCAAATGCTTATTCTTGTAACTCAAGAATTTATGCTCCGAGTCATGTCATTAGTCTTAGTCAAGAATTGGTATATGCTACCTCTTGGATGAAAATTTGGAAGTTGTTTGAAATGCTGATTGTTGGTTCATGAAATAGATGGATATATCCTTCCATGTATAGTCGAAAGGGATTTACGACGATTTGCCAATTTGCGATCAACTTCGTCTGAACTTGGGTTGAACCTTCCTTTACATGAGGTACTGCTAACTCTATTCCAATGGAAGACAGGTATATTAATTTGACGCATTTAAAGTTAAATTTTATGAGTATTATTTTAAAGATTATTATTTTAATACCTTTTTTTAGGGATTGGAATCACCCGCTGATGGTAGACGTTCATCTGAGTCTAGCTATCGTATTGGAGATAATGGAACTTCAGGGGGGACAAATTAGACTTTGTTATGATCGAGATAATTAGATTGTGAACTTTCTCATGTATTTTTGGCATAATGATACTTATTATTATAAGATTAGGAATTGATATATTTTGGGTTTTTTGTACTATTTGACATGATTATGGAACTCGCATTTTACATGATTATGGAACACACATTTTTTTGGATATTATAATGCTTATTTGATGTTAAATATTTTTTATTGAAATTATTTTTACTATATTACAAAGTGATAGAAAATAAAACAAAAAATAATACTATAAATAAATATATTAAAGAAGAAATAATTTAAAGAAAAAAATAACACAAAAAAAACTATATTTAAATTTTTTTACATAGATAATAATTTAAATAAAAAATATATATAATAGAAAAATAAAAAAAAATCAAGACATAAACAAAAGTCATGGCGACAGTACCGAACCGTCGTAATCAACAAAAGTCATGACGATATCGAACCGTCGCCATAAACAATTTAATCAATTTCAAAAGATATTCACGACAGTATTGAACCGTCGCCATCAATAATTAAAAGAAACTCAAAAGATAGTCACGACGGTATCAACCTGTTGTAAACTTGAACGACAGTTTTTGTAACCGTCGCGAAATAGGTTGGGGACACACACTTCTGCGACGGTAAAGCAACCGTCATGGAAAGCAAATTGCGACGGTTTTAACCGTCGTAATCTACAAAAATACCTGTCGCAATCTGCCAATTTTCTTGTAGTGTCTGGCAGCGGTTAGTGATCTAGATGATAAGCTAGTATACTACCCTTGATGGCCTTCTGAGTGACATATTGGATTTCATATTCTGATAGTAGCATCTGCCATCAGACGATTCTACCTGTAAGAGCCATTTTTTCGAACATGTACTTTAGAGGATCCATTCTTGCTATTAACCATGTAGTGTGGATTAACATATATTTCCTCAACCATTTAATAGCCCAAGCCAAAGCATAACAAGTTTTCTCGAGGAGCGAGTACCTGGTTTTACAGTCAGTAAGTTTCTTGCTGAGGTAGTAAATTGCATGCTCTTTTCTTCCTGTTTCATCCGGATATCCCAAAACACAACCCATTGATCCTTCGAGCATTGTCAGATACATGATGAGTGGTATTTGTAAGTTTTTGGTTGTTGGCATGTTTTTTTAGTAAAACCAGTTATGTGAATGTCATGACTGATGTCATAACATTCTGGGATACAAGGTACATTCTGCAGAAAAAGAATGTCATACAGGAGCTGCTCAATATGAGTGTTTAGTTGATCATTATGCAATGATCATATTTATTGCATTCTACCAAAATCAGTAAACAGGATTCTTGTTGTCATAACCAATGTTAAGACATCCTGTACTGAACTAACATTTGTACAGATTTATTATTTCTGAGAATTTTCAGGAATCTGGTTTATTCAGTCCAGATTAGATTCTCACGTGGACTTAGGTTAACTTTGCTTAACCCTAATCTGGTTGTTAAAGTCCTATGACCAAGTCTTGAGGTTAACCCTAATTAACCCTAGCTACTTTCATGGAAGCCCTAACAGAAGAATAGCTGGCTATATATTCATCATGAAGACTGTTGGTGAAAGACACTTTTGACAGAAGATCAATAAGGGACTGTATAGTTGTAACTACTGTAATCCAAGCAATTATTATTGTGATAAGTGACTTGGAGTAGGATTTGATTGTAAGGGTTGTGTATCACTCAAAGCTTTGAAGCACTAGTGTTTGTGTCACTTGATTAAAGCTTTGAAGCAAAGTCAAGTTAGGGTTGTGTATCACTCAAAGCTTTGAAGCACGAGTGTTTGTGTCACTTGATTAAAGCTTTGAAGCAAAGTCAAGTTAGGGTTGTGTATCACTCAAAGCTTTGAAGCACGAGTGTTTGTGTTACTTGATTAAAAGCTGTGAAGCAAAATCAAGTGTATGTTCTGAAGAGTGTCTTCATAATTTCATTAGTCAATTGTTTAGTATCACTGCTGTGATTGAGGGGGAGTGAGTAGGAACTCAGGTTTAAGTTGAAATTAGATTGAAGTTGCATTGGGTAGGTCTTAAGTGAAGGAGATAAACTGGTTGGTTTATTCCTGAATTAATATCTCTTATAGTGAATTTCCTCCCTGGCTTGGTAGCCCCCAGAGTAGGTGTTGTTACACACTGAACTGGGTAAACAATTGACTGTGTTCTTTACTGCTTTTAGATTTACTGTCTTGAAGAGTGTCAGATACGGTGTCATAACATTCACTGTGACATTAAGTATCTTCTGCCAGAATTTCAATTGGCATCAGAGCAGGCACCCTGCCTGTCTTACTGGGTGAGATCTAGGGATATTATTTTCTGGCGCTATGGACAAAGAAGGAGGATTTGGAAACAGACCATCCATTCTGGATGGATCAAATTATGACTACTGGAAACCTCGTATGATTGCCTTCTTAAAATCACTGGACAAAAAGGCTTGGAGAGCTGCTGATAAAGGATGGAACCATCCCACCATAACTGGGAAAGATGGGACGACCAGTCTGAAACCTGAGGAAGAATGGAGCAAAGAAGAAGATGAGTTAGCCCTGGGTAACTCCAAAGCATTAAATGCCTTGTTCAATGGAATTGATAGAAACATATTCAGACTAGTACGTCAATGTGAACTGGCCAAGGAGGTTTGGGACACTCTCAAAACTACCCATGAGGGCACATCCAAAGTAAAAATGTCAAGGCTTCAGATGCTGACTACCAAATTTGAGAACCTAAGGATGATGGAAGATGAGATCATTCATGAGTTTCACATGAACATCTTGTAAATTTCCAACACCTCAGGAGCATTGGGAGAAAAGATGTCAGAAGAAAAGCTGGTGGGAAAGATTCTCAGATCCTTGCCTAAAAGATTTGCAATGAAGGTGACTGCTATAGAGGAAGCTCAGGATATCTGCAACTTGAAGGTGGATGAACTCATTGGGTCACTTCAGACCTTTGAGATGGGGATCGGTGACAATGTCGACAAGAAAAACAAGAGCATATCACTTGTATCTTATACTGAAGATGAAAACAAAGAGGATGAAGAAGAAAATATTTCAGAAGCTACAGCCATGCTTGGAAGACAGTTCAACAAACTCATCAAGAGAATGGACCCAAAGTCAAGGTCAAATGTTAAGAACATTCCTTCTGACATTAACAGATCCTATGACTCCAGCAGAAGACCAAAGTCTGAAGAGAAGGGAAATCAAAGCAAAGGAATTCAATGCCATGGATGTGAAGGATATGGGCACATTCGAGCTGAATGTCCTACCTTTCTTAAGAAACAAAAGAAAGGAATGTGTGTTACTTGGTCTGACTTTGACTCAGAAAGTAATCCTGAAGAAGAATCTGCCAAACTAGTTACTACGCTAACTGGTATTTGTAACTCTGATAGTGACTCTAGTGACGAGGAAGTGACATTTAAAGAACTGGCTGACTCCTACAAGAAGTTATGTATCAGAAGTGCTGAAGTCTGTCAACAAAATGAGAGACAAACAAAACTCATAGTAAAGTTGGAGGCTGAGAAGAAGGCATGCATTGATACTATAAGTCATCTAGAAGGGGAAATTCAAATGCTAAACTCAAAACTTGACCAAATGACCAAATCTGTCAAGATGCTGACAAATGGAACTGACAAATTAGAAGAAATCCTTCAGGTTGGACAAAATGTGGGAAACAAGTCTGGTCTAGGATTTATGGCAGCAAAGAAATCTATTGTAGACAAGAAGAAGATCAGGCCTCATAAACAAATGTCAAAGCAGATGTCATAACATAACACTCAACATCGAGAACAGAGAAATATGAAGAAAAAGTATCAAAGATGGAGATGTCATCATTGTGGGAGGTTTGGTCACATAAAGCCATTCTGCTTCAGATTATATGGATACCCTAATCAGACCCCAGTTGTCAAACCTAAGTCTAATAAGGCACCATATACTCAACAATGGAAGAAAAAGGCTACTGCCCTGATAGCTCACACCTCCCTTAGAGTCTCTGCAAAGGAAGACTGGTACTTTGACAGTGGATGCTCTAAACACATGTCTGGAATCAAGAATCTTCTCAATAATGTTAAACCTCAAACTACTAGTTATGTAACTTTTGGAGATGGTGCTAAAGGAGAAATCAAAGGAGTTGGAAACATGGACTTCCCTGGAGTTCCAAACCTAAATGAATTATTGCTGGTAAAAGGCTTGACTGCTAATTTCATAAGTATCAGTCAATTATGTGATCTAGGATTCAAGGTTAACTTCACCAAGTCTGAATGTCTTGTAACTAATGAGAAACAAGAAGTTGTAATGAGAGGAGTCAGATCTAAAGACAACTGCTACTTATGGGAGTCTGAGAACATTAATTATTCTTCTGTGTGCTCTATTGCCAAAGAAGAAAAAGAAGTGAAACTGTGGCACCAAAAACTTGGTCATTTACATCTAAGAGGAATGAAAAGGATTATATCCATGGAAGCAGTCGGAGGGATTCCAAGGCTGCAAATTGATGAAGGGGGAGTCTGTGGTGAATGTCAGGTTGGAAAGCAGACTAGAATGTCACATCCAAAGTCAAGACATCTGACCACCTCTAAGGTGTTAGAACTTCTACATATGGATCTGATGGGACCAATGCAGGTAGAAAGTCTTGGTGGAAAAAGATATGCCTATGTTGTTGTGGATGATTTTTCCAGATTCACCTGGATTAACTTCATTAAAGAAAAGTCTGATGTATTTGAAGTATTTAAGGAACTGTGCAAAAGAATTCAAAGAGAAAAAGAAGGATGCATTGTCAGAATCAGAAGTGATCATGGCAAGGAATTTGAAAACAGTAAGTTTGATGAGTTCTGCTCCTCAGAAGGAATTAATCATGAATTCTCTTCACCCATAACTCCTCAACAAAATGGAGTTGTGGAAAGGAAAAACGGGACTATACAGGAATCTGCCAGAGCAATGATACATGCCAAAAGACTTCCTATTCATTTTTGGGCTGAAGCTATGAATACAGCCTGTTATGT